GTGTGTGTGTGTGTGTGTGTGTGTGTGTGTGTGTGTGTGTGTGTACACACACAAACTCTTCACTGAGTTTTCTCTTTTACCATCAGGACGCAGATTTGCTTTAAAAAGATGTCGAATCAACAGATTTAAAAATTCCTTTTTTACCTGCTGTTATTGTCCTTTTAAATACTTCTTGTTGATTGTTGTGTGCTTTTTAGTAGATATGCCTATACAATGATGTGGTTGATGATTGTTTTTGTTCCTGCTGGCTGTGACACAAATTGCCCCATAGGGATATTAAAGATAACTTGAACCTGAATATGTTTGTGATTAAACTGGTGATTTTATGTACAGACTGGTCTGGATGGCTGGACGATATGGCCACCCAGATTAGGAAGTATAGAAGTAGCTACATGCCTGAACATGTATTCAGCCCACAGTGAATGAATGTAAAAGAAACACTAGCCAAAACAGGAATTATTTCAAGAGGATTTGACCTCTGAAAAGGATAGTGTTCCCCCCTTCAGTGTTGTCAAACTTAGCAGGCGGGGTGTGATTCTGAAGAAAGTTGTTATAGGTAACACCACTTCCTGGTTTGGTCGCTGAATGCAGAGATGAGCTACTGAGCTAATAAACCTGCCTTTCAGTCCAGCGCAGTGGTTGTATAACTCTTTTCACATTCAAACATTCAAATATTGGTGCATTGTCTATCTGGTTACTAACACATTAAGGTAAACGAACACGCCTAAATTATCTACTGTCTCTCAAAACTACATCAACATTTAGTTCATCATCTGTAAGGTTTGCTTTAAGAATGAAATATTTGTGGAAGTTCTAATAATTATGTTGGGAAAGTTTCAGTAAAACCTGTTATGTGGTTCTTGAAATATTTAGCTAAAATACACAAAGGATTGACTCCAACACTTAATTCTAAAGCTTTAAGTAATGATTTTGCACAGTGTGTTTTACTTAAAGCGTGGGTTGTGTTTGACTCAAAACTGTTACTGACTGACTGACACAAAACTGACTGAGATAAAGCTATTGAACTTATTTTTAAGTCCATTGGTTTTTTATCACAATTCTTTTACATTAGATTGTTTCCAACATGTTTCTGGTCAGTGGGCTGAGGCGTTCAGCTTGAACCAGGTTGACTTCAAAGATTATTCTTGATGAACTGGATGAAGGACTAAAATTCATCCAGTTATTTTAGTGACGGACACAAACACTTCCTGCCTTTTAGCAGCAGTTGATATTAAAATGACTATAAAAAGGTATCATCTCTAAAACTAGAAACACTCAGAGAGTGCAAACCTCCGCCAAGACCAGTTTCCCCATCCTGTAAGAGTTAATGCGTAAAAGCAGAGATGGAAACACATTTGCCATAAGTTATGACGTAGTGAACATTTAAGCAGGCAGTATGCACAGGATTTCTTCTCGGTGGAGTCCAACGTGAAAAAAAATTAAGACTCGTCACCTGACGTTATTCATCATCAAATTGGTGTGGGATTAAGCTCCTAAGTTTTCATCAGTCACATTTCACCATGTAAAACGTCTGTTTTATCTCCTTGTATGAGTTTGTAATGGTTTGACTCTCTTTATAAAGTGCTTCCTGGCTCCCCCCGTCTCCAAACTTTGAGGCCCGGCAGCTCTCTGTTTACAAGCCTAGTAGAGACAAACTGTTTTGATTGGTTGTTTCAGAAATGTGGTGTGTTTGACGAAATGGGAAAAGTAGGTTTCGTGGTGCAGTCATGCACTTCCTGGTCACAAAACGTTCTCTAAATGTGCATATTATGGCAAAAAAGATTCATCATTAAATGTGGTTTTAACATTACTTTTATAAAGTTTGAAGTCCGTGCTGTCCAATCCAGCTCACTGTTTTTTACAGAAGCCATGTGAAAGCATCACAGCTTTGCTGATCTCAGAGTGTTAAAAGAAAAAAAATTCCTGTATCCGCATCGTGATCCGGAACATCACCAAAATTTAAAGGTGTGTTCCTTGCCCAGTACCCACATGTGGTAAAAATGTCATGACAATCCGTCCACAAGTTTTTGAGTAATGTTGTCCACAGACAGAACAACAGACGGACATATGCAACCGAAAACATTACCTTGCCCTTGGCGGAGGCAATCACCTTCATCCTGGTCTTCATCAGTGGTGACAGATGTGCTCCAGTTGTCTCAGATTGAAAACTTTGATCAACATTAATTCTCAATGTTACAGTAACATGACGAGGCATCAAACAGGAGCACTGCTCCCCTGTAGCAAAGCCCTGCCCACCTCATTCTGCACCGTCATGGTGCTCGCTCCATGCAGTTGTCATGGAGATGGAGGAGACCTCAGCATCTGCCAGTGTCTCTGTTACCATGGAGATCTCCCTGGCTGCAGCAGCAGCCTCAGAACCATAGAAGTGTGTTCAGATGCTGCCAGGAATCAAGGCGAGTCAGCTGATCCTGAATGTTTATTTCAAACAAGTTGTTCTCCATGACCCTGCACTCATTTACTTTTCTCCTTCTGAACCAAAAAACATGATAGCATCTGTTGTGGAATACTGATTATGTATCACCTTGACACTGTCCAATTGTTCATATCTTATGATATCGTCTGAACGTCATCTTCAAGCTGACCTACTTCATGTACCAGAACGAGGCACATTCTGATTGGTTATTCACTATCACATAATGATAACTGACAGTATAACATTGCTTGCCCGGCCGATGACAGCCGGGCCCACATCTTACAGACTTCGTGAT